TTTTAGTATTGATATAAGTTACAAAACCTTAAAAATGTATTTTTTTTTTTAATAGAAACCTGATTATTAGATAATTTTATTTTAAATACAATAATCTGCGGATCAAGTATGAACTAATTTTGTTCCTGTAATTTATTTTTTTGTTTATTAAGAAATTATAATCATTAGAAATTATTTCATTGAGTCATTATAAATTTAATGTATTATGTTTTGAAGTCAGCTACGCATGTAACATGGAGTACAATAGAATCAGTAATTAGCATCTAGCAGTAGATTTCAAACATTTAAACTACGTAAAAGACTGAGCAAAAACAACACATTTTTTTAGACGAAATTTAACTCGAGAACGAAAGTATGGTCCGAAATATTTTCAAATCGCCCTGGCTTGGCCAGAATCAAGCTTAGACTGGATCATACATTAAAAATTGATCCTGACCCGGTCGAAATAGCAAAGCTTGACTTCTCAGACAAAGACATTCAACGTAAACTGTTCGATGATTTTCTAAGCGTTCAAGCCAACGGTTTAAATCTTACCCTGTGCATGAGCGTGGTAACTGGTTTGGCTGACTTTTTCGAAGACGAAATATACCCCATACCACTGCCGATGGTGGTAAGTACATCGCTTTATCAAAATACATAATATCTAATAAAACTTTGTGCATTTTTGTAGGTTTCCTTAAAAAATATAGCGTTACATTTGAACGAAGATAGGCCTCCAACGAATATAACTTCGCCTGGACCTATTCCCATCGACCTAAATATAACTGAATTGTTTATTAAAAGAAACGAAGATGGTGTGTTCCACATCGAACCAATGAAAATTAACAAGGAAAACGAAAATGCTTCAATAAGTAAGTCAGACCCTACATCGTCAATTACACTTAATCTAATCTGAAGAATAACAAACAATACATGAGTGCAAAAATACAAAAGAAATTCATTTGTCTTTGATTAGGTAATGAAGTCGAATCTCTTCGATCGATAGTGCAAGAGTTACAATTAGAAAACAAGGACTTAAGACGTCATATGGAAACGTTCGAGCAAGTATCAAAAGAAAATATGGATCTACATAGATATAAAGAAGAATATGAAAGCATGCGTCATGCCCTTATTATGGCCGAAAGCAAAGTAACGGAGATGGACGAAAAGTATACAAAGTTGTTAGCGTTTATAAGTCCGGAATGTTCCCAGTGTGACGGAAACAGATAGCAATGTTGCTTCCGGTGTACCTTTTGCTGTTATAACAGAAAGATTTCTTAGGTCGACAGTCCCTAGTCTTTTAAGTACAGTAGAAAGGAACCGCTTTACGAAGTTTATACATATTATACAGTATAGGGAAAATGAAAATGAATATCAATATGAAAGGAATTCGTCCTGACTATTTTAATAATTCGAAGAGTGATATAGCAGAACCATTTGACATTGGAAATACTTTGAGAAGTTAGTTAAAATTGCTTTTCTACAAAAAATTTTTTTTCTTTTACTAACGTTGTAAGTTATACAACCCTTCATGCAAATAATAATAATAATAATAAATGTGTACAGTGCAAGGCAGAAATAATAATATACACTTACGTACAAAATTAATGAGTAGAAAATTTCCTGTATTAATAAATTAAGTTACAATTAAAAGCTTATCAACAGCATCGTAATCTTATTAATTAAAGTGATACGATCCTTTCGGCGAAAAAGGCGGGATTCTAGCTTCGTTCGCGTAAAGCTATTTCTAATCGTTTATAAGCAAAATTGTTGAAAGTAATAAACTAATTAAAGTAGCCTTAATCACTCCTGATAACTTCCTACTCATCCCCTGTAAAGGTTCGACGAAATAGTATCAGCCTTTTCAAAAATTAACTCATGCAGTCAGAAATTATTCGTGTTTTGTAATTCCCAAACTATTTAAATAAATCCTTCAAAACGGGCAAGAAAAATTATTTCATTCATATAAATTTTGTCACTTTTTTTAGTCTTAAATAAATCACTTGTTTACATTACTTATTTCACATTATTTGATGTTAGTATAATTAACGTCTTTTTTGCCAATAAATATGTATGTATCTCTATCAAGGCAAATTGAACAACTTAAAAGGAGATAAAGAAAAATCTGATATCTTTTTTAGTAATTTTATTAAGACATCATTTTAATTTACATAAGTCAATTATGTAAAATAATTAAAAAATTAATACAATCTTTGTGGTTGTCCCATAGTCGACTTTATATGCAAGGACCTAACATTTTGCCAATGCTTTTTCAACAAGGAAACCAAGAAGTTGATTGCAAGATGAACATTTTGCACCAACTCATCTGGGGTCATTCCAACATGTCCTACAGCCACTGACAAACAAAGTACCTGAAAAAGATATCTTTAATAAAATCAGAATATGCAAGAAATAAATGTAAAATTACTACTGAAAAATGTAAACAGATTTTTATACATAACAAACAAGTCAATTTGCCAAGGTTTCGCAAAATCTGCAAACAATAATTTTGCACCATGATTCCACACAAATTAATTATGAATCCATTAATTTGATGGCTTATGGTGCCTAAAAGGTAAAATGAGAAGTCTTAGAATGTATGATTTCTTTCTCCCCCAAGAAGTAGACTATCTAAATGTTAAGAGCTAACATTATATCTTTATTCTTATTGTTTTTATTACCTTTTTCATTTGGAATTTAATGGTAGCCTTAACTTCATCAATTTTCTGTATCATAGACTCTTGGTGGGAAAGGAGACCAGGAAACTTTCCTGCCTTGTTGAGACCTGGACCTAGCAATCTAGGAATTTGTTTAATTAAAGCTTCTGAAGCCAAGAAAGCATCAAATTTCTTAGCCAGCTTTTTAACCAACTTCTTGTTTTTGTTCAGCTTTTTCAAAGCTTCAACATCCATGTATGGGACATTGTTAGCCTTTGCCTCATCACAATGCTGTTGATCACCAAGAACACACACCTGCATCTTGGGACGAGGAATGTGCTTTAACCTTTACAAAAAGAATATCATAATATAATTTACTTATAAGACATACTTTAATAAATAGGTTATTTGTGTTATTTATCTTTTTTTTTACACTACTGAAACTTACCCCTCACATCAAACGACCATCAATAAATTTACAAAAGTTCGATAATAAAAATCTCCCCAGTTATTTTAAGACCCTGGGTGAAGGTCCGCCAATTACAAAATCAGCTTCCTAACATTCAGAGCGCTTTTAGATTCCTTTGTATTAAAATTTAACAGTATGGCATAACCTAAAAGCACCCTGATGCAGGTCTACATACTTGACGGTGCCACTGAAACGTTTGTCCTTTTGTGGGTCATAATTCTTCAGGCCAATTTGTAATTCCACAGTTTCCAAAAAGTGTCTCTTGTTTTCAGCGGAGCCTGCTATCACACCATTAACGCATTCGTACAATGTATCACGAGACACCTTTGACCTTCAAGCAAAAAATAACGTAAGAAAAAAACGAAAAGGATAAAATAATTATAACCATAAACATAAATTAATGTATATTTCTAAGGATTAGTTAAATATTATTAGATTTTACTTACGACATTTTTCTTTACGAAATCCACCACTCACGCAAACCGTCCAACACCAACCACCATTAAAACCATAGATTAATGAAAGAGTAATACGAAAATAACCGTTTACAACCGATGTAAAAATTCGGGAAAGAACCGAACAGTTACGTAAATTTCTAAAGGTGGGACCACACCTACAACATTACTAACGATCATAGTTTTTTAACATATAGAAGCATATATATATAATTAATTAATGTTATCTTACGANTTACTGCCTCAGCATTTGCCTAAGTGATCCAAGGAAACCACAGAAAAACTTGGACCAAGGCAGACGGACCCGGAATCGAACCGGCGTCCTCCCGAATGCTAAGCAATGGTCTAGACCTCTAGACCATGCCGCTCGGTACGTCGAAACTCATTTTACATCTTTACTGACTCTTTGGAGAGAGTCCTGTAGGGCGATAATTTGTCTCCATATTTTTCAAGCCTACTACTGCAGCTGAAAACCGAAAACTTCTTCATAGAAGGGGTATGGAAGACAAACATACCACATAACCCACATGTGGCTATGGGATTTGCTTGAGGAGCTTTAGCAGCACGTACGGACGAACTAGACTTACTTATATATTGTATATTGATAAACATTATAGAGATGTGAATGGTATTGCCTCATGGTCATATATTTCTTGTGGGCTTTACTTTAGTTAACGAATTTTTCTAATCTGTATTTAATAATAATGCTTTGTTTGGATAATGTTCAGTTCTTACTACGAATTTTGAAACCGAAACGATAAACTCATCGTCAATGCTTTGTATTGCATATTATAAGAAATGCCCAGTTAATTAATTTGGAACCTAAAGCAGAACCTATTATTTTTTTAAATTCTACAAAATCAGTTTTAGAACAAACAAAATAGCTCAAACCCCAACGCCAAAACACGACACTTTAGTTGTCCGAAGCACTTTTCGGTAAAAAGATTACCTTCTTCAGGGACTGAAGTGAACTGAAAATCAGCTATTATGGAACTGAACATAACAAATAGTGTAGTAAAATCAGGATTTCTCGTCATCATCACCGTAAAGTCTTCAGTCTGAAGACTGGTTGGACACACACCTTCACTCATTTGTTACTCTTCGCATTTCCCTAAAACTATTTAGATCATCCCACATCCTTAACTATTTGTGAACAGTAATCTAATCTAGGTCTACGTCTATTTCTCGTAACTCCTGTAGTATGTCTTTTCATGACATGTCGTACCAACCTATTTCTTATTGTCTTCCATAGTGTTCTCTTTTTTCCTACTCCTTCTAATACCATGCCATTTCCAATCTATTCTATCCACGGTAACCTCATCATTCACCTAACCTTTTCTTTTCACACCCGAAAAGAGCCGTGCCCTATACATTTACTTCTACTAATCTTTTTGGAACTTCTAAATTAACCGTTCGCGGGAATAGAAGATTTGCCCGGCACTATCCTCCACTGCTTCTTCCACCCTGAGTTATCTAATTTCCTAGATACCGAAAATCATCCACCTCCTTTAACTTTTCGTCTCCTATCTTTATATTCGCTCTTCCCATACTTTTTCTTCCCTTACATACTAGTATTTTTGTTTTATTTTTACTTCTTTATCTACCTAATACGGTCCGTAGCACTTTCATTATGTAGATAGAAACGATTAGAAGAGAGATAAGTTGGTAGAACATCGTCTCAGACATGAAGAACTGGTTCCAAACATATTGGAAGCAAAAAGACCAGTTAAGAAAGTTAGAGGTAGATCTATGTTAGATTACTGTTTACAAATAGATAGGTAAGTCGCTTAAGGAATAAGTGGAGATACGGATCTAACCAGTTTTCTGGCTTATATTGATCATAAATGATATACTTTTGAAAATTTGGCACAACCTCTTAAAAGGAATGCGTATACAGGCTGTAGAAGTTCCTAACTTCCCTGTGGATAGAATATACCTACAACGGCCCCAAAATGTACCCATTTGACAGTGCTTTCTCCTAACTGTCACAGAACCCTTGCAACCGAACTTAAAAGTAAAATGAATTGTACCCTAACTGAAAAATTGCTATTGCCCGTTATTTCACAGAAAATATCGTTATTACTGGGAAGAAATTATGCAGATTATCCTTATTCTTTCGACCAATTTATAGAAACACTAACTCCAAATTCCACATAACTACATAGAGCATGTGCAGATGGTATCGAAAACTCCCAAGATTTTGGCCCTTATATTTCTGTCGAAAATGTAAGGAGCGTTGTAATTCAACACTGTCTTTCCATCAGGATTTCTTTTGTACCTCACTGATGCGAATCCCCAAGTACGATAATTATTATCCTTGATAGTTCTTTCGCAAATTATCCTCTGACTTACGTGTTGTAATTTCAAACTTTTGGATAAAAGATTTGTCGTCATCATAATCAACGAATGATGTCGGTGCAATAGACACGAAGTATTTGGAGCAACTCTCTAAGTCTGTTATTGTGTGAAAAGTTCGATTTTCATGTCGAAAGTATGGAATTATTTGCAATCCTGATAATAATGTTACATTTATATCGTAGTTTACCTCACAGAAGGGACTGTCATTGACTTTTTCCCATGATATATGAATTTTATTAGCCGATGAATTTGTCGATAAATTAACCAATTGGGACACTGAAATTTATACGTATTTTCAAATATGAGCCATCCAAGAAATACTCGGAAAAATGAAAATAAAACTATGGCGTTTCATTGAAAACAAAAAAAGAGTTTTTTTTTAACATCCTAGGCGAAAAGTTTTAGATTAGTTTTGTCATACATAGACTTAAATTTATCACTTCTTCTTCTTGTTCTGTATTGCTTTTTCTTGTTCTTGTCTTGTTCTTGCTGGAATAAGACAAGACCATATCTTAGCAATAGCAAGATTCCTTGTCAAGAAATTAGCAAGAAGCAAGAATTGTTGCCTTTTAGGTACAAGGGTGTAGTGCTTCAAGAATTATGTAAATCTAGGTTTATGTCTATCAGTCCTTCTTCTATGAATTTAGACAAATCAGAATTGAGGAGTCTCCAAGCCAGTGAGAACATGACTCTTGCTAACAAGACAAGAATCAAGCAAGCGAGAAATTAACAAGAGAAGAAGCAAAACAACTCAACTTGCTTAGCAAGGCAAGACAAGACATCTTGCTTTCTTGATCACTAGTTTTAACGGTTTCACCAAACCAGCAATTACTTATTCTACTGTTTCGAGAGTAGTGACTCCTTCAACTGTAAATGATAAGAGTGAAACGTGCACGTATAAAAGCTGTATTGTGTAGTAACAAAAAATATAAAATGATTATGTGACAACACCCTGTGCATATTGTGACATAAAATAGAATAAAGGCAGAAAAATTTTTCAAAGTTTAGCCGGTATAATAAGTAACATTATTGCTTCTAAACAATACATTTGGTGAAAATAAACACACAACAATTACATAAACTTATATCTAAAACACAACTATATATATATTAAACAATAAGCAATGAAGCATTTGTATGCGCAAATTGAAATAAATTCCTATATGTCGACCAAATCGTTAAGTTAATTGATTTTTCTCATACGGTGCAATAAAACTGTTAATTTCAACAGTGTTCAATTTAATTTTACCTTTAAATTACTTAATTGTTCCAAATTGAAACCTATTATTTTATACATTATAAAACGTAAGTAAAAAACAGTTCACTTTCATGATGTAATAATTTCTGAATTTAGGTATAAATCGTAGGGAATTCGATCAAAGTAGTGATCCATGAAAAGCAATCGATATTTCGTTTAATATTCTGATACTATATATAGTATCTTCTATCATCTATTTTGTAATACCTGAAGATTACTGTTTTGGTCCAATTCCCTGCGATTCATACGTGAATTTACAGAAAATAAATTTTACACGAAAATGCATTTAAAAATTAGAATAAGAATAAACCAAAATATTTGAAAATAGAAAACCAAATTCTTTTATATTTAAATTACGTACAATATGTAACGTAAAGTTGTAATTATAATCGACTGCACTGAGATATTTTTATCACATTTCCTGCATTTCATGTGAAAGGGGACATTATGCTTCAAATGTGATTGTATTTGAACCAAGGAAATAAATAGCGTTAATTAATGTCATGAGACAAAAACAGTCGCATCGTTTTCGTAATTATTTTCATGCTACATAAAAATAGAATAAATGAAAAAGATAACGTAAATAAATAAATAATGAAACGATTATTCTGCAATAATAAAATGAAATACAGAGGGCAAATTTAATGATTTAATAAATTGAATATAAAAATAATTTTGATGAAAATTTGGAGTAAACGGTAAAACAAAACTTTTTATCTATTGCTTCATTAATTCAACATATTCGATAAAAAATAGTAGGACCTTAATTCATTTAAACTTTATTGTATACATATGGATAAAATTTTCATATTGTTTGCCTTTTTAGTATCAATTCTCTGTTGTCATCAAAACATTATACACATTGTAAATCTTGATAACTGGGAACGAAAGCAATATTTAATTTTAGCAGAATCATTTCAAGATATATCCAACAGAAACGAATAGCTCTGTTTTTGTCGCAATTGGTTAATTAAAAAATCATTCAATTCAGTATAAAAGGGTCATTGTTTTTAATTAACAGAATATGTTCTGGCAAGTTCTTGATAGTGTAGTGTTATAAAATGTAGTTAGTTGTTGTGGATACTGAACACTTTTAAACGTATCAAAGGTAGAATTTATCAATTTATTGAACTTTAATAAGCAGACAACTGCGACAAGTAAATAAATCAGTTAATCAGTTATTGTATAAATAAATAAAAAGCAAAGAAGTTATACAATGCTTAATTTTTAAAACTAGGTATTTTGCGTTTTAAGATCTTCATGGTCAAAAACACTTTAAACGTTTTACAAATCAATTATTCTAAATTTTGGAAAAAGAAAATAGCCCGCTCATCCGAAAAGTATCCAGTTTCTCTTTTTTTAAAGTAAGAGACTAATGAAAGAATGAAAACCTTCGGGATCGCGAAGAATAGATGACGTTGATTGATAATAGATTACAATCAAGTACCTAACCATCTGAGAGGCGCCATAAAATGGTACTTTCTGTGCTTATTTTCACAGTGCATGACGATTTTTACGTAAGAGATACGGGTTGTTATCAGGATTATTTACACGAATTAGTCACCAATTTAATCAATTTAAGCAACAGTTTGGCGACTTCCTCTTTCTCATCAATTTCTCTTACCTGTGCTGCAATTATAGTAATCGTCTGTAGTAGTGTCGCTGGTTATTGTGGTCAAATCTCCGGATATAATGACAATTAAAACACCACTTATCACCAGCACAAAAAGTTGTACAGAATTCTTCATTATTGGTAATATTTAACCAGCAAACAGCCACTTGCGTTGTAACCGCCAAAAGGAAGGATGCTGTAGTTAACACCACAGTCGATTACGATATAAAACAGGATATACTTATCAATACAAGTAACAACACAAGTCACAATTATTAACAGACTATGTGTCGACAATATTCTGTACAATGACATGAATAATATTCAGCAAACCTTAATTAAACCGCAATTGTTTTTTTTTATTAAGATAAAAACTAAGTATTAAAAGTTGTCCGGCACTTTGAAACATCCGTGCGGCGTCTCCCCAGAATGTTCACTCATCTTACTTATTTTTAACGAATGTTTATTATTCAAGTATCGAACACCACTTCTGTTTCAAATATGGACCTACCAGGTATAGAACTACACGAACTAAAGCAACGCGATTTTGAATAATTTATCGCAATGCGAACAATTAGAACAACCGACCCCATTATCGTCGCCAGTGTGAGCGAATGTTCCACCGGGATACTTTACTGGTCATTTTTTTTAACGATCTGAATTGTGATATCGCAACGTGTATACTTTACCTAACGCAAAGTTGACAGATTACAACGTGCACGTTTTGCGCAATTTTATCCCCACAACCAACGTATACTTTATTAATAACTGATCAAATAAGGATCACATTTAACATTAACATTTAAAGTCTTCCACTATCTGTTATGGGAGGGCGAGCGATAACGTATCTTATCAACTATAAAAAAAAAACTTGATACTTATTACTCATCCTAATAAAGACTTGCTCGTTTGGATTTTGTTTCTGATAATGAGATTATGACTGAAAAAAAACATGTTTTATTGTTCCTCGATTGGATAAACACATAAAATGTTCACCGCCCTAGTGCGAAATACAGGGCGTTCCTTTGTAAATAAAATTTTCCGTAGTTAATTGACCTGGTAGTCATTTGATAAAGATTCATATTAAGATGAATTAACAATTACTATTTTCATTGTATTAATACTTTTTAATATGTCATAACAGACGTTTCTCTGACACAATAACTTCTCCTTCCGACAGCTTGTAATAAGTACTTTAAAGGAAAATGCCCCTGTATATTAAAATATTTACGAGAAGAAATGTGTAACTTGAGAAAAAAGTACATAGGCCAAATAGGCAGAACCTTCAATATACGCAATAATGAACGTACAAATTCATATATCTTAATTATGTTATTTGTTAATTAGCCTTAAAATTTTCCTCATAAATTGATTTATTGGAAATATTTTATCATCCTTTCTATGAACATTCAGTTCTTTTAAACACTTTGTACCAAATGTTTGACACGTTTTTAGCAATAAGTACCATTTATGGGCATCACTGTACGTGACGAGATATTTTATACAGATTGTATATTATTTCATACAGATTGTATAAAAGTATCTACTTTTATGTTAGATATCAAGTAGTAATACCGTACAGACTATTATCTTTGTTTTATCTATAAATATTTGAGCTCCTTTTGAAAATAATTTGATAATAAAAATTAAATAGCACATAATAATAGATTTATTAGTAGGCTATAAAAAATATTGTTTAAATCCGGTTATCGAACGATTAAAAGCATTGCATCTGTATTTTTTTCTGATTAAACTATAATCCATACTTTTTTTTTAGCTAAAATATTCTAACGTTAGTAAAAATATAAAAGAAATCCATCACGTCAATGGATTGGCAACTTAATCTGAAAATAATCTGAAGAAAACCAGATTGTAAATTTACTACTTTATATAAATAGAAAATAAAAAAGAAATTATAAAGGATTAATGGCTGAAGATGGAGCGTAAATATCTAAAACATTGGTCCATGTACCTATTCATTAAAAACCGTATTACCTATAAAATTATAATATCTCTTTGTTCCATAAGATGCTAATTGTATTTAAAATAAATGAATGTACTGTAAAATATAGTCAATATAAGTAACAAATTTACTTAGATCGTATTTTCCTTTAAAAAATTAATTTTGATAAAAAGGTAAAAACACTGTCTCTATTAGTTAATTCTATTCTTTATAAAAAAAGTAGGAATTAAATAATAATAATTAGACATTGGAAATACTTTG